CATTTCTTAAGATTCATGGGAGAGCCGAAAAGCGCGAGGGTGTGAAGCGCCAAGTACGGGCGCCCGGCGGCCGGGCGCAACAGTACTTAGAACACAGCAGGTTGGGCGGCATTTTTTGCACAATTGCACATACTCAGAACTCCAGTGGTCGGGCAGTACTTTTGCAATGGTCCAGGCGTGGGGCTTGGGTACTTCTGGCTCGGGAGTGCGGCGCCCAGGGGACTGGAGCGCGTTCTGGGCAACTGGGATGGTGTTGTCGTGACCGCGACAAAGTGACCGGCGCCGGCCGGCGATGGCTGCGGAGGCCGCTGCGCCGCCACCCCCTACGCCGCCCTGCTGCTGCTACCCAAACCCCGGACGCCCCCGGGATCGATCGCCCGCGGGCGGCCTCGCCTGACCGCGGACCCGCGGCTGCGGCCGCCGGCTGTGAGCCCCGCCGGGTGCGGGCGCGATGGCAGTGGTGGTCGGGGACCCCGGCGGGCCGGTGGAATCTGTGGAGGTGGCGAATGACGCGGATGGCGGCTTCACGTATCGACAGGTGGGCTGGGTGGAGGAAAGATCTCAGGGGCCAGGAGTGATGGGTAGAGATATATGGGGAAAGGGGGATGAGGCATCGTTTGGGCGCGCTGGGGGGCTGCGGAGTGTTCAGTCGCGGGTGCGAGCGGGGCTTGGACGGGTTGGCGTGTGCCCTGCGTGTTTCGGCGGGCCGGGCTGCCGCAGTGAATGCGCCAAGTGGCATCGCGGGGGCCGTCGCTGCCAGTTTCGGCGTCCGCTTTTGGGGGAGCGGGAGGCGCACGGGGGCGATCGACGCAACTGGATGGCTATCGATTGGCGCCCACCTCTGGGAGCACCCCCCGCTGGTTCGAATCGGATGCTGAAGAACGGAGCCGCCCGGTCTCAGAAACTACCCAATCACCTCTAGCCCAAGATCCCGCCCCCTGCCAAGGATCGGCCTGCCAGGGATCACGCGCGATCCTCCCACAGCGCCACCCCCGGCCACCAACTCCCCACCCCCAACACGCTCTCCTCCCCTCCGGCCGTCCAATTGCCCAATCACTCTTGGCGTCACCACTCACAAGCCTCCCCTGCGCCCACAGTACCACAATGAGCGCGACCTTGCGCAAGTGATGCACCTGGTGGACAACGAGCTGAGCGAGCCCTACTCGATCTTCACCTACCGCTACTTCCTGCGCAACTGGCCCTCGCTGTGCTACCTGGTGTACGACGGCGACCGGTGTTTCGGGACTATCGTGTGCAAGCTGGACGAGCACGCCGGCCGCATGCGGGGCTACCTGGCGATGCTGGTGGTGGAGAGGGAGTACAGACACAAAGGGGTAGGTGAGTGGAGGCCGGGTGCACGGGGTGGACGCCCCAGGCAGGGATGCAGGATCTTGGATTTCCTGCTTTGCATTTGTTGTCCTTGCGCCTGCACCTGTTGGTTGGGGGTCCTTGCTCCCCTGCCTGTCTTTCTGCGTTTCTGCCTGCTGTGTATTGCTGTTGCGCTTCTTTCCTTGCAGGACGACTGGTCGATAGGCATGGTGTGCGATTCTGTCCCAAGCTGTGGGCGTTCAGTTCCTCTGGTTTCTGTGGAACTGACACAGGGGGATGAATGTAGCCATTTCAGCAGTGATAAAAAGACACAATGACAAACAGCACCCCAGTGCAGCTTGTTCCAAGTGACACAAAGAGAGAGTTGTGGAAAAGTGTGCTCAGTGTTTGGGGGCGCATTGATAGTAAAGTAGCCCAGGTTCTTGTCCACAAATGAAAGCAATGCCCCCCCCTCCCCAATTAGCCTTTGTTAAGTTGACAATTGCTAGAGTGAACAACTCTGTGAATTGTCGAACAAAGAAGTGATATTACAATAATTTGGTAGGAAGGGCTGAGAAGATTTTGTCTGGAGAATGTTTGCATGAAGGATGCCACTTTCAAGATTCAAAATTCCCTTCCATTATGAATGCGCATACACGATGGACAACAGCTGTGTGATAGGCGAAGAAGGAAAGAAGAACCTGAAAACAACGAACTACAGAACAGAGAAGTGGACTGCCCTGAGGCTGGTGTGTCTGTGTTGACAGGAACACAATTAGTAATGAAGGCCATCTCTGGGATGATCGAACAGGGGTGTGAGGAAGTCACACTCGAGGCTGAAGTGACCAATCAGGGGGCACTCAAGCTGTACCAGAATCTGGGATTCATACGTGACAAGCGGCTACGAAGGTGAGAGGAGCCCACAGGCATTCTCACTCCATTCATGCGTGGGATCCACTCAAAATGGGCACTCCACTTTTGTGCAATGGCGCATGGAAGTTCAAAGTCGTATCTTGCATCGTGAATGGTTTGGAGTCTCAAAAACATCTTACTCAGGAATGTACTGCGACGTGTGACACCTGGTTTCTCTCTTTCACAAAGAGTTGGCCCCTTCACAGTTGACCAGAATGGTGATGGGAGCTGATGAGTGGAATTCACAAGCTGTACAGCAGAAGCCCTCTAATGTACATACGTGTATGGTTTTCAAGCAGACCTCACCACCACAGCACTTGCCTTACAATGCAATTCCACAGAGCTGCACTCATAGCCTTCTTTGCATCATTTTGTCTTTATTTGTTTCACCTGTTGTCTTGCTTTTGAGAGAGGCGCAGCTTGAAACAGGCTGTGTGCTCACAACATATTAGTCTGTTATATGCTCTGATGATTCAAAAATGCAATATGTAACGCTTTTGTTCCCGTTGCTGATGTCCTTGTATATGTGCCTCATTTAGACAACATCTATTCTATCTTGTGCCTTAGGTACTACCTAAGTGGTACAGACGCATATCGCCTGAAGCTTCTGCTTCCCATTAAGCCCGCACCAGTGGAAGAGCTGCCTGGTACATTCACAGAACCTGCAGCTGGCGAAGTAAACGATGCTGGCCCATCCTCTGCGCAACCAGCTGCTGATTCAGACAATGGTACAGAAACCACAGTGGCCACTGCGACCAGAGAATCTGACACAGCTCGAAGCTGAATCTGCGATCGCCCCTTGGAGGCATGACGCCCCCGTGTCAACGGGTGGTCCCTCTTTTGGTGGGTATCAAGTTGCTGAAGGACAGTGGCCAGCGACCAATAGGCGATGATCTGACCGTTGCCAAGCCTCCAGTCAACAGGATTAGGGTTTGCAGATGCTGGAGCAGCAAATTTGGTGTGGTGTAGCACAAAGGGCTACTGCATGCTTCGCTGGTGGGCGCATATCCAGATGGCATGAGGCCTGACAAGCGATTTTTTCTGGCAGCAGTTTGCTAGCTGTTGACTCACCAATGGGTGTAAGGGAGTGGTCGGGTGCCACAATGCAGTGAATTGGATGAGACGATTTGTCCAAGTACTTGGCGACTGAAGGGGACATCCTCATGCCCAGATTCTTGGCAACCGCAGTGGGGAACACTTGTGGCCTGGTCGATTGGGATCAGGCTTGGTGTAAGGAGGAAAGCTAAATTCTGGCTAAATGTGGCACAGCGTGCATCGCTCAAGTTCAGCAGCAGTATTCTTCGCGGAGCACAGTAAGTGGTGAACGTGTGGGGGCTTCCACTTTGGGGCCATGACTTTTTGGCTTTCCGAATATCGCTTTTTGCTGTAATTGTTTGGAGCATTGAATTGCAAGCAAATGTGTTGCTTGGCAAATGTTCTGTTACTGCTGTCACCTGCATGCAGTAAATGCAGATGGAGCTTTTTCCTTTTCCGTTACATATCCAGCTCTTTTTGCTTCGTCGGTAACAAAATCCCAGGGTTTAGGCAGATCTACAGATATTATAATTCGGGATTTACCCTTTGAGCATCTTTATCGGTCGGTGCTATTGCACCGGCGGAGCTATCCAGGAACGATTCTCATTGGCTGCCGTGCCACCTTACTAAGGTGGCATTTGCCGAATAGCACCGGTGCTATTGCTCCCCTGCGCGCATCTGCAATGGTGGGTGCTATGCCTACACCGAATAGCATCCCTGCAGCACTACAATGTTCTGCGCGAATAGCACCGGTGCTATTCTGGGGTGCTATTCGGCCCCGAGCGGTGCTATTCGCGGCCAAAATAGCGCCGCTCGGCGCCGAATAGCTCCGGGGGTGCTATTGCTCCCCAACCGTTAAGAGCATCTTTATCGGTCGGTGCTATTGCTCCGGCGGAGCTATCCAGGAACGGTTCTCATTGGCTGCCGTGCCACCTTACTAAGGAGGCATTTGCCGAATAGCACCGGTGCTATCGCTCCCCTGCGCGCATCCGCAATGGCGGGTGCCATGCCTACGCCAAATAGCATCACGGCAGCACTACAATGTTCTGCGCGAATAGCACCAGTGCTATTCTGGGGAGCTATTCGGCCTTGAGCGGAGCTATTCTGGCCCCAAATAGCTCCGCTGGGCGCCGAATAGCTCCGGGGGAGCTATTGGGGAGTTATTGCTCCCCAACCGTTAATGATGGTTTTTTGACATGCGGAGCTATTCGGATAGCCGAATAGCTCCGCCGGAACAATAGCGCCGACCGATAAAGATGCTCTAAGAGCATCTTTATCGGTCGGCGCTATTGTCCCGGCGGAGCTATTCAGGAACGGTTCTCATTGGATGCCGTGCCACCTTACTAAGGTGGCATGTGCCAAATAGCGCCGGTGCTATTGGGGAGCAATAGCACCGGGCGTGCATCCGCAACGGTGGATGCCTTGGGGAGCAATAGCACCCTGTGGGCATCCGTAACGGGGGGTGCTATTTGCATGGTTCGGCTGTCCCAAGGCCCCTCCGCTGTACTAAGGCCCCTCCGCATTGTTCCAAGCAGCCGCCGCCAAGTGCTGCGCGAATAGCACCGGTGCTATTCTGGGGAGCTATTCTGTCTCGAGCGGAGCTATTCAGGCCCCGAATAGCTCCGCTGGGCGCCGAATAGCTCCGGGGGAGCTATTGGGGAGTTATTGCTCCCCAACCGTTAATGATGTTTTTTTGATGTGCGGAGCTATCCAGGAACGGTTCTCATTGGCTGCCGTGCCACCTTACTAGGGCGCCATTTGCCGAATAGCACCGGTGCTATTGCCCCCCTGTGCGCATCCGCAATGGCGGGTGCTATGACTACACCAAATAGCATCATTGCAACACTACAATGTTCTGCACGAATAGCACTGGTGCTATTCTGGGGTGCTATTCGGCCCTGAGCGGCGCTATTTGGGGCCAAAATAGCGCCGCTTGGCGCCGAATAGCTCCAGCGGTGCTATTGGGGTGCTATTGCTTACCAACCGTTAATGATGATTTTTTTTACGTGTGGTGCTATTGGGATAGCCGAATAGCTTGGCCGGGACAATAGCACCCACCGATAAAGATGCTCTAATGATGTTTTTTTAACATGGGATGCTATTCGGATAGCCGAATAGCTCCGCTGGGACAGTAGCACCCACCGATAAAGAAGCTCTTAGGCCCTTGAGAATATTTGTTTTCCAGTGTTGGGCCTGCAACTCTCCGTCGTCCAAAAGCATCATGCCAAGGCAGCACGATCAGCTTGTTTTCACATTGCACCACTTAGCGCTTCGGGCCCTTCCGGATCAGCGCCAGCACAAGACGCCAGCGGCGATTGCCAACAATGGCACGCCCGTTCAAGTGAAACTGATCTTGCCCGCCTGCCATGAATCAGGGGCAGCCGACTGTTGCACTCCTCACTGCAAGAAATGTGGCATGCAACACAGAACAAGTGAAGGTGCAATTCTCCTCGAAAGTAGTGCCTGTCAAATCAAGCAGATGTTAGTAATTTTGTTTGTAATTGTACACGTCAGTACACGTCACTCAGGGTCGACCTACGCGTGCAGGTACCATCGGCCTGGCATCAGAGCTCTTCTGTGTTCACGCTTGACCTGAGTGCACCAGCAGACCATTCAGCCTGTGACTTCTCCGCTGCCCCCTGGGTGCCGCCTCCTTGCCTGTGTGCCTCGCCGCGGGGCCTCCAGCTGCCATGCCGTCCGAATGCGATGGAGCGGCGTCGGAAGGCATTCGCAACCTCAGGAAGCGGTTGGCTGGCCTGGACACCGAGGAGGGCAGGATGAAGGCGTTCCAGTTCAAGCCCCGCACCGACGACGTGTTCATCGTCACGTGCGCCAAGGCGGGCACGACGTGGATGCAGCAGGTGCGGGCCGTGGTGTCGCAGTGAGGGGCTGCTTTTCCGCCGCCCTCTCTTCAATCCGAAAGATTGTATCGCCTTGAATAGAGAAGACGCTCGCGCCCGTCCAAACACGAGAAGAGATGTGGGCCTTGGGCCGTCTCACAAGGAAATGCAGGGCGACGTGATGCGCAAAGATCGATCACATTCGGGTGAATGCACAGTCTCAAACAATCTCTTTATTTATTTTCTTTGTTAATCTGTTCACTGGGAGTGTGAGCACAAGAAAGCAGTAAGTGTCCATCCCGTGCTGGAAGATCTCCAAGTTTGGCCTGCAAAGTGCAAAATCATGCCTGTGCAGGGCCATATTGTTCATCCACAGAGCCACATAGATAATAGGAACAAGGTGTTGTGGTGGTGGTGTGGCCTATTTGATTGTTTCTTGTCGAGAAGTGACAAAACATTGCCCTGAGGAGTTCAAGGCGATGATGGCCTGCGCAGATGCCCTCCATGAATTGGAGTGTTTGGGTCCAGGAGTATTGTTGGATTGGCCTGTATCAGGGAACTTGGGAGGAAGATTTTTGTCTTGTGATTGTGATGAACCTGGTTGAACCCAGTGCAGGTTGAGGTGGATGGGCTGTGGCTCGATGCCCACACCAACCTCTCCCATTGGATCTGATGGTGGATCGACTGTCCATCGAATCTTGCTGTACTATCACAAAGGGGTTTGTCACACTATGGGCATCTGTCTCCTGTTCTGGAGGTTTTGTGGAACATATCTCCATGATGTAGGACATGCCGTGGTGCGTAAACAGATTCGTGTACTAATGTCATCCCCAGCATCTTTCACAGCATGGAGAAGGGTCCGACAATCTGTTCATTCAGGAGGGCTTGGCCAATGTTAAGCACGTTTCTCTCGGGCCACAATGAACATCCACCACTTGCCCCTTTGGTGGCATCTCTGCAACACCATTTGTTGCAAAGGGCAAAGCAACAAACTGACACCAAATTTGCGGATAGATAGCTGCAAAGCACTGGACGATCGCCTTGCTGATGCATTGAATTCTGTAAAGGCGGTGACTGTGCAGATTTGAAGTTTTGATTAAAACTGTTGAATAAAATTAGCATGTTTGAACGTTGAAAGGGTGTTAAACTGCTGCATGCAGCACAGTAGTCCTGTGAAATACTTTAAAGAGTGAATCACTTTGTGCAAATACACTTGACCGTTTTCATGATGCCATTCATTACCTATGGCATGCTGTCATCTGACTGCTCTTCCCTGTCCCTCAGATAGTGCATGGGCTTCGAACAGGTGGCAGCATGGATTTTGATGAAATCAGTCTTGTCATCCCACACATAGAGCTGGCACACGATGCAGGATATACCGACCTTGATGCGGAGCAGGTTGCTCTGCCCAGGGTGTACAAAACACACTTTTGGTACGACCATACTCCAAAGGGGGCACGCTACATCTATGTGGTGAGGTGAGGGGCTTCCCAGGGATTGAATCATTCCACTCACATTCCAGTGGCAGAGGATCTTCATACTGCGCAGAAGGTTGCGAAGGTCATCATACCCATGGCAAGCTGCACCTGGCAAGATATTTTGAGATACTTTTTTTGTTACAACATGATGCTGTGTTCTCCGAGTGCAACGCAAACCATGCACTGCAGGGTATTCCCACAAATGCTGTTCCCATGGCCCTGCAGCACTGTAAATGAGCCAATGGGCAATATCTAAATTATCCAAAATGCAGCTCTGAGACAGATATGCTCAGATACTGAGACAGCAACGAGAGGTCAGCTGGTGCTCCCAGGCATAGTCCTGGAATAGTGCTGTGGCCAGCATTCAGTTTCACATACAGTCAAAGTGATGCTGGCATCGCTTTGCCCGCTTTTTGCATTTTGACAACCGCAGTCCGAAAATTCACACAACTGTCTGTGGCGGCACACTGGCAGGCAGGCAGGATGTCCACCCAATGTGGGACGCATCAAATTTTGTATTTTCATCGCTCGTGTCCATTAATCCCCTCAATACATATTGGTTGATAGCATAGCTGTGGCATCGATGTAAGCAATTGAGGGGAATTGCCCTCATTCATGCTACAGACCCCCCCTCCCCCCCCACACACACACCACCCCCTTTACCTTTTCTCATTGGTGAATCTTCACCAGGAAAATATTAGCCCAATTAAGGAAGAGCACAAGTCCCAAGCCGGATGGAGATACCTCCCAAGTCAATGTATTGTTGCTGTTGGCGCTTCACGGTGTATTATGTATCAGCCCGCTTTTATTGAGTTAACGCCATCTTCACAACATGGAACAGGGTCTCACCACCTTTTTGCTCAGGAAGGGGCGCACATATTTGTCACATATGTCATTACCTTGTTGATGCATGAGTGACTGGATCTTGGGGGGTGAACATATTCCAAACCAGCCAGAATGGTTTGGGGCTTTAGCATTCCTGTATCCCAAGGGTGCACAAAGCATTGTTCGCTTCTTCCTAGCCTAAAGCTCAAAGGGGCCAGGTCGCTTGGCTCCGGAAGTGCTGGCGTAGGCGTCCGCGGGGGTCATGTCGCCGCCCCTGATCGTGTGCAGAGTAGAACCTCCGCCTTTAGCATGATTGAATGAACATCCTTACCAGCAACGTGAAAACTCAGCACACTGGTGATGTCATGTGTCTCTACTGAACTCAGATAGGCAGGCAGCATCCCCTTGCCAGCTGTCTACACTGGCCTCACAATGATTCTGCTTTTAGGATCAAGCCTTGCTTCAAAGTGGGCACGATCCTCACTCCAACGAATGTGGGCTGAGTGTATCCTGGAGACCAACCGGGGCGTTGGTCCCGTATTCCAGAATTGATGTCATCAGTTGGATACCCAATTCCATTAATCAAACTGCCTTTTCCCAATCCATTGATTCGCAACCTAATTCCATTAATTCGTAACCACGGTGAGCAGGCATATGCAGGCCTTCAGCCTGCAGAAATACAGATGTACGCGGTTTTAATGCTTCAGTTTGTAGCCACAGTCAATAATGAATCAATGTCATGCAATAATCTATCTACTTTTGAATTTTCACTGATCAACAGTTGACTAAACAGCACAATTTGTGCTCCGTTGCTACAGTCCTCCGTGCTTCCCACCTGACGTGCCCCATTCACCTGCCTGCCCAGGGACCCAAAGGACATGTCACTGTCATTCTTCCACTTCATGCAGAGCTGGTTCTTTGAGCCTGGCGAGGTGTCCCTGCTGGAGTTCCTGGAGGAATTCGTCCTAGCCAGAGGCAAACCTGTCAGCGTCATGCAAAACGCGTCTTTCTGGGACAACATCGCGTCGTGGTGGCCCCACAGGTTGGATCCCAACGTCCTGTGGCTGCACTACGAGGACCTGAAGCAAGACCTACCCGCCTGTGTCAAATTGGTGGCGGAGTTCATAGGCAAGGGGGCGGAGGATGAGGATCTTCAGAAGCTGGTGGTCGAGCAGGTGGGGCAGCCTGTGGAATTCCAGCCAAAGCCTTTACCTGCAGATGAGTGGTCGTTTTGTTGTGAGACATCTGCTGGAAAGCTCCAAGGAGCTTTCCGTCTCAACTAAGAAATCTGTGTAGTTGCGATTCGCCGATCGGCCACTGCTGTGCACCTCGAAGTCTGCTTCGACTGCATCTGCAGAAATGTGACAAAGCACCTCCTTGCACACATTCGGTGCGTTGAGGCACCACTCACATCCACAAGTACTGGCAGCCATGGTGATTTCGAGCTCGCAGTGTACT